AATTTTACCTCTTAAAAATTAAGAAAAAAATTATCTCAAAATTATGTTGTTTTAATAAATTTTTATTTAAAAAAATTAAATTATTTTATTTTTGAAATATACATTAAGGTGATTTTTGTCTCTTTTTTTTAATTTTTTAAAAGTAAAACAGATAAGCACTAATCTTAGATATTTATTAAAAAATTATAATTTATTAAAAATATAATCATATATATAATATATGAAAATTAATTAAATTAATTATATTTATAATATATTTTAATAATTTTATCAAATAAATATTAAAAAGATGTATCGAACCAAATGAATAACTATAGTTTTTCTAATAAAGTAAACTAAGAAAGCCGATTATCATCCCTAACTAATGGAAACCCTGGCCAATCAATCGTAAATAACTAAATATACACTTTCCTTCCCATGTGGGCAATTCATAGATTCCTCTTGGTGAGTTAAAGCAATTCATGGAGACCTTTCACAGCGAAAACTAGGGAATTGAGATACACGCATACATTGAGAGGCCAATACCAACCCCCTCTCCTCGTAAGACTAGCTAAGACATACCTTTGCGGTAAGTTATGCTCCACAACAACCAAGCTCTCAACCTTTCCAATAATTTGCTTCATTAATTCTGACTGCCAAAAGTCAGTCTTTCTTGAAGATATAAACAGTTAGATATTGAAATGGAAAATTATTAGTACGATATATTTAATTTAATATGTTTTTTTATTTTTTTTTTATTTTATTATTAAAATATAATATAAATATATTTTAATTTAATTAATTTTTACCTTTTATATATGTAATTTTATTTTTAAATTTATTTATTTTTAATTTTTAATAAATATATTATAAAATTAATAATATCAAAATATATACTATTAATATCTTAGTTACGAACTTACCCCACAAATTTATTTTAGAAACCAAATTCTAAATTGAAGTCCTCTGTCACATCTCCCAAGAATTCCCCCACGATAAAGAAAGCTTTTCTGTCATTAAAACTAAGGGAATCCCATCGAACCAAACTCAAGTGTCTAAGAGAGCGAAAGGAGAGAGATATTGTAGTGACAATAACAATCTCTCTCTATATTTATATATATATATTGGTTTTTTTTGTTTTTATTTTAAGTTACAAAAAGTGCAGCAACCCTTTTTAAAATTATTACTTACTTTCATCCACATATTTATAATTTAAATTTAAAAATTTTAATTTTATTTTAAAATATTATTATTAAAATACTTAAGTAATTAAGAACTTTTATTTTCTTTATTGTATTTATGACTTTAAAACATCAATTAAAGAAAAAGGTCACAGATACTAATAAAAAATTAATATTAACGTTTATTCAAAATATTAATAAATCAATAGTTATCGATTCTTCAAAGTAAAAAGAAGCATCACTCATTTGGTATATTGGCAAATTGATTCTCTTGCAGGGAAAAAGAAATTTAAAATTAAAAAGTAAATTGTAAAGAGTGAAAAAGAGAAAATTTACATTGAAATGGTGCAATTCTCTGAAGCAAGGATCTTTAAAGACAAAGAAATAAACACAAAGGCAATTTAAAAAAATAAAAAAAACATAAAAGAGAAGGGGCACATAAGAATTTTAAAAGAAAAGTAAAAAAGAGAAAAGAAAAGCAAAAAAAAAAAAAAAAGTCACGAGAGGATTTGAGGAGATTCATAAAACGACAAACTACTTGGTCCGTGAGACAAACTCCCACGGGAGAAGGCAAGTCATCGTCCAAGCGAGACGCGACCCCTTCGATGTGGTTGTTCCACGCGCGGTAATTCTCGAAGGAAGATACTTTGTTTTTTTATAAATTTTCTATTTTATATTTCAAGGCACAAAGTAAATATTATTAATTATAATATTTATAATAAATTTTATATAAATTTTTATATCATATTTAATTAAAATAAAATATAAAATTAAAATAAATTATAATAATATTAGTAATTAAAATTGTGGAAAGATATAAATTTAATATAAAAATTTATATAAAATTAATTAAAATTACCTTAATAAATAACTTAACTTACAATGTACATGGTAGACAATTTTTTTTAATTAATATTCTGTCTCTATTCTCCAAAGCATTTTTTAAAATGCAAAAATTGAAGAATTGCCCAGCTGGACTGGCCATATTTGCAATCGCGGATGCTACGGGTATAGAATTCCCCATATCCTAGTTTGCATGCTCATTCACGTTTAATGCTATTTCTATTTTCACCAAAATATATGTTTAATTCTTTTCAAAATGTCTTTAAAGTACTTATTTTTTAAATCCGATTTTTAAGAATTGAAAGTATACAACTTGTATTTTTTTTGGCGAACATAACTTGTATTTTTTTTATTTTTATATGTCAAATGATAAAATATATTAGGCAGTAACCTTCACTTTACAAAATATTTCCTCCATTACAAAAGGAAAAAAAAAAATTCTTAATTCCGAAGCCTTTTTTTAGCATGTTATAATATGAAGGCATAGTAAATATCATTTTTGTATAATTTTAATGTAAAGTGTCACAACAACAAGCAATCCTTTTTTTTTTTTAGTGCTTACACAATACACATCCCTGAATTCAAACTTAAGGTAATTTATTTTTTTAAAATGAAGTTTTTGTTGTTAAATTTCTAAATTTTATGTTTTATTATATTATTAAAATCTTTTAAATCATTTTATATTATATTATAGTTTAATATTTATTTATGTACAAATTCCACTTGATCAGTATTTCCACAAAAACTATATTTAGAGTCTAGACCAAATAGTTCTTATTAATTTCAAACCCTTCCAAAATTGAAAAATGAAAATTATCTTTGTGGTTTGTAAACAACAACTATCTTTTGTTTAACATTATTATTAGATAAATTTTAAAATTTTTTAAATTATTTATATTTTTAAAAATAATTATTTATAAAATAATTATATAAATTTAGAATTATTGATAGTTATTTACTACATATGAATGAAGAGAAATAAAAGAATTTATATAATGAGCTTTTAAGAGCGAGACAACTTTGATTACTAATACCTAATTTAAAGTTGGGCAAAAGATTCGGACCTTCGCTTGCGGAGGCCATCCTCCCCTCTTGTTATTGCGAAGCAGTGAAAAGTTTACAACATTATAAAAGAACTAATTAATTGTTTCAATAGATTATTCATTATAACCAACTGGGCCTGAGGCCAATGATTGGTCCCCAAACCTTAGGGTTTGGATGAGGTAGAGGTTAGGGCTTCGAGCCCTGCCACCGCTGTGAACTTCACCAACTTGCAATCTAATGGTCGCGCGTCTCATATGAGGGAGTGGAATGTTCACTATCCTGAAAAAATTTCAACTGCTAACAAACTAACTCTACTAACTTCCTAACCATCTACCTGGTCAAAAAAAAAAAAAAGATTATTCATTATATTTTACTCTTTCAACATTATAACTGCATATTTTGATGCTTTGAATGTACTTAGTATTTTTGGATAAATAAGATTCATTTTTTATAAAAAAAAAAAAATTTTTTTTAAGATCAAATATAATTTAAAGTATTTTGAAAAAAAAAGATTTTAAGATATTTTTTATTACTTTTTATATAATTTTATATATTATTGAAATAATTAATTTTTTTATTGATTTAAAATTTATAATATTTAATATAAATATATTTATTTATTTAATAATATATAAAAATTATATAAAATATTACCTTTTTATCTTCGTCCTTTAAAAAAGAGGACAGTAGAAAAAGTAAAGAAAAATATGATTGAGAAAATGCAGCTTTAAGCGCGTGATTGACGCATTCTGTTCGGCGCAGCGACAAAAAAGGCGGAAGAAGAAGAAGCATAATTGATTAATATGAACGATGCCGTTATGTCCCCGGCAGTGACGGTAGGTTTCTCCTTATTTATTTCATGTCAAGAGTAACTTGGAATTGGGAGTTTGCATCTTCAGTGTCAGTCCTTTGGATGATTTTGTAACGTTTAATTTATGCATTTTTCGACATCCTGATTTTGCAGCCTGTGGAAAGTTTGATAGGAAATAATTTTTGTATAATTTTTTTGTTTTATTTTTTTTTATAATTTGTTGTGT